GTTCTTACTATCGTCTGTGTGTGTGTGTGTGTGTGTGTGTGTGTGTGTGTTTGTGTGTGTGTGTGTGTGTATGCCGTCTATGTACGAAGTCTGATAGGTTTATGAGATGAACTGTACATCACACCTACTGGTGAGATAAGGACAGTGTAAACTTATTGAGAGTTTAAACTTTTATGTGCACGAAATTAGATGACTGAAAAGGTGCACACTGTTTGAGACTTGGGATGGTGTTTGTTTTAATTCAAACAGTGATGTGATGACGTTCAACGATTAGATAAATGTGGAATGTTATCTGCATTAATTACATAGGTTTGAATGGTGTCTGAACTCATTTCTACTCTCCTTTATTTTCGATTAAAAGACGAAAAGTGGAAGCAATAGAATTTCCTTTCTTACTGTTTTCACAAAATGATGGGAAATAATTATACTTTTGCTATGATTGGAAGCAACTAACTACACGTAGATGGCTGTCATGACTAGTCGGCGTGTTCAAGCAAATAATCAAGCTGAACAATAGTTTTTATATGTGTGAAACTGCTGGGCATTGTTTGGACAAACGGATTTTGAATTTTTCATTGAAAGAGTCTTCAGGTCATGAGATGCCTTGATAAGGGCACCGCAGAAGATTAAAGCCAGGAAGAAATGAAAAGTGGAAATGTAAAGTGCAAAAGAAATGAAATCAGAAGTTATCATCCCAGAAGGTGGTATTGGATTTAACCAGTAAATACATTTCAGTTTATTCTGCAATGGAACAAGATTTTTGTGAAAACTGACTTCGGACAGACAGAAACTTCTAAAATCAGAAAAAAATGATGGGATAAGAAGTCGCAAGGAGCATACAACCTTCCAAATGCAGTTTATACGTGAAGGGCACTGTGAATAACTTCTGTTTTTCTTTGGATAAAGGTAATTTTAAATCATATCAGCAATATCGACTGGGCGTCACCAAACATCTTAGTATTATTGATGTGGAGCTTTTGAACGAGCACATGATTCTAATTTGAGACTTAATTCATGTTGTTGATGATTCAAGTAAGCATTTTGAACTTGACAATCAAATACATGTTTTTTTTCCTCTGGGAACATTCAGTTCACACAATAATGAAGCGGTGCAACAGGTTTGTTGAATTTCCTAAAAAAAAAAACTGCATACCCGATAAAGTTTAAGGAAATCAAGCCATCAGCAGTCAAAAATTTCATTTTATTCATCTTTCGATAGTTCTTCGTTGATCAAAATAATGTCTCTTTTGATGGAACCTGCGAGTTCTATATTTACTGTGCCTTTGTCCATATTTTTCTTATGCAGCGGGCAAAATTTTTAGAAAATGCAATACATTCTTTCGGGTCTACTTCGTGTAAATATCTGCTAGTTCAGATCAAAATCGGACTTGACGGATTCCTGCAACAGTTGTATCAATCTCTATGAACTCGCAACCATCTCAATGCTTTGTGCTCGTTCCGTCTCTCAAAAGCCGATAGGTTTTGTTTTTATCCTTAGGACGGGGAGAATATAGAATGCGAGGAAGAAATTTCCCCGACCTGGAACTGCTTGTTTTCAGTAATTTTTATTGTGGATGTAAGGAAGCGGTCAGATTGGAAGATGAACATACAGGTCTATTATTTTTTCATTAATCTTTTTCTATTTCCCCAAGTTTGTGTTGGGGCTGTTACACTGGCAATAAAATCCGACGTTACCCTGGAAAAAACTTAATGTACCACTTCTGGGATGATAACTTCTGATTTCCAACCATCTTGGTCTTTCGCCATCCTTTGGTTTCATTCACACTTGCTTACCAGAAATTTATTTTTCAGCAGTATTAGAATAAATTTCACAGGGAATACTCAACACTCAGCTTTATGGCTTTTTCAAGTTATTGTCACGAAATGAGTAGTAATAATATAGCTCCATAGGTTTCGGCAGAAGCTTCCAGTATGAGACGATATAGAAGCTTGGAACACGATAGATAACTTCCTCCTAGCCTGAAACAAAAGTTTTGTGAAGGTTTTTGGTCTTTAAGCGATGTTCCTTTTTGTTGATTGGCACAAATATTTTGTGACAAAGGTTTAATGAATGACGAGGAAATATTTTAAAATATACGACCGAAACGAAGCACAATGGACTGAATAGCTGAATAAAGTTAATAACTGATGAGTGAGAAAACTGCTGAGTCAATGACTGAATTGAACTTCTGAAGGAGTGAAGAAATCCAAGGGTGAGAGTTCCTTCATTTACATAGAAGTTTGTTTACTAGCTTTAGCCATTGACTTTTCTATAGCGGAAGCTTACATTCCGCACATGAAGTTCTGTACAGCACCAATCAATTTACAATATCGGCTTTTCTATAGCGGAAGCTTACATTCCGCACATGAAGTTCTGTACAGCACCAAATCAATTTTACAATAATCGG